AACATGAATGACAATCGGTCAGAGTCAGCCTGGGGCTGGGCTGAGACCTGGAAACAAGTCAAACAGCTGGGCAGGAAGAAGACTGTGGGCAGATGGGGAACCTTCGTGACCCACGGATGTGAGGGCCAAACTCGAAGGCGAGTTAGCTCTCCCTTCTCAACCATGCGCTGGAGCAACAAGCCTTTGCAGCAAAATGAAAAATAGAAACAATGACTGACCAGGAATAGTTAAGAGCAAAACGATCATTTTCTTGCAGACGATACGACTGTCTATGTATAAAATCCAATAAAATACCCTAATTAATAAAAGTTCAGTAAGATTTGCAGAGAACAAGAGCATTGCACGAAGTTCATCGTATTTCTTTACAATAGCAATAACAAGTGGGAATTATAAAATATTCATAGCCACAGTAAAATCATTGACATTCATAGTTGTGGCAAAACCTAACAAGTATGCAAGCTCTTGACAGAGAAAACACAAATGGGTTATTGAAAGATATAAAGAAAGCATTTAATATATGGGGAGAAGGGCCAGTTTCATGGATAGAAAGATTCAATTGTGCAAGTGAACTCTCCAAAATCTTTAAATTCAATGATAATTCAATCAAAGCTCCATCAAAATTATGGAGAACTTAAAAAGCTCATTTTAAAGAATGTGTGTAAAGAAACAGCTTAAGAAATGCTTGGAATGACACAGTACTGGTGGAGGGATCAGGGGGGGAGGCATAGATGAAACATACCGGGCAGAAGTTGATTATCACTGAAGTTGGGAATGAGTTACATTACTGGGCCGGACTCTTGAGAGTCCCTTGGATAACAAGGAGATCAAACCAGTCAATCCTAAAAGAAATCAACTCTGAATATTCATTGGAAGGACTGCTGCTGAAGCTGAAGTTCCAAAAATTTGGCCACATGATGTGAAGAGACAACTCATTGGAAAAGACCCTGATGCTGGGAAAGATTGAAGGCAGGAGGAGAAAAGGGTCAACAGAGGATGAGATGGGTGGATGGCATCACTGACTCACTGGACATGAGTTTGAGCAAGCTCCAGGAGATGGTGAAGGACAGGGAAGACTGGTGTGCTGCAATCCATGGCGTTGCAAAGAGTTGGGTAAGACTTAGCCTCTGAACAACAACAACTACTTTTGCATGTTTAAAATTCATAATTTTATAATTTACATTATACTTTATAATATAAGGTTTAAAAAGTTTGAGAGGAAAAACTACCTGAAACTTTTTTTTTTTAGAAAAAGCCAAATTGGGTTTACTTATAAGAAAGTGAATATGTCAAAGGTATGATAATAAAGAGTGTGACAACAGCAGAGCAGTAGAAAAGCAGGCCAATGGGGAAGAGCTCAGACAGTTGTGTCCATGTTTGAGGATTTGGGGATCTGACAGCATCGGCATCGCCAGACGTTCAGTATGTGATATGGGGAGACTAGACATCTCAGTCAGAAAAACCATTCAGGGAGACTCTTGCTTCACAAATAAGCTGAATTAAAGCCTAAATGTCACCACTCAAAAACTAGTAGGATGAAATACAGATAATAAAGGATTTTGTGATCACGAACATGGTGTGAGAAGGAGGAAAGGGCAGAATAATCACTGCAGCATGGTGCCATTTGTGTAAGGTAACACTTTCAAAAACAAGTTTGTATAGTAGAGACATGTATATTCAGTTCAGTTAGTCACTCAGTCGTGTCTGACTCTTTGCGATCCCATGAACTGCAGCATGCCAGACCTCCCTGTCCATCACCAACTCCCAGAGTTCACCCAAACTCATGTCCATTGAGTCGGTGATGCCATCCAACCATCTCATCCTCTGTGGTCCCCTTCTCCCACCTTCAATCTTTCCCAGCATCACGGTCTTTTCAAGAGTCAGCTCTTCGCATCAGGTGGCCAAAATACTGGAGTTTCAGCTTCAACATCAGTCCTTCCAATGAACACTCAGGACTGATTTCCTTTAGGATGGACTGGTTGGATCTCCTTGCAGTCCAAGAG